GGGAGCAGGGGAGGGTTTGCTCTCCGTGGTCTTCGCCCCTCGGTCTCCGTGCGGTGGTTTCCGCTTTGCTCTCCAGGAGAAGCGGCAGCGTGCCCCCGCAGGTTCTTGAGACATCCCAGCTTGTATGCAGTGACCGTTGAACCTTTGAGAGGAGAATAAAGGCACAGCAGTTGTGTGCAGATGCAAACGCTGCCAGAAACGCAGCCGGCATGGGTAAGGGTCAGGCCGTTTCCACCGTTCTGCTTTACGCAAGCTGACCCCCTGAGATGAGAGAACGGGAGTAGGGGTCTCCGAAGGCTGAGGTCTGGCTGGGGGTGCGCTTAAGCCTTGCCCCTGTCGGGAGAGTTGGCAGGGGGTTTCCGTGCCGTACTCTTCACCGAGCTGTCTGGCGGTCGCTGACTCAGTCTCCCCGAGCCAAAAGCCGTCTGTCTCTAGTTTTGGTTTCTATAAATTTCAGAGGCTATTTTTTGCCACCTCTACCTTTCTGTGTGAGCGAAAACCAGCAAGCTCCTCTCTTCCTTGCTTTGTTTGGGAGACGTGGGCAATTTAGCAAATATAGGATGTACTGATGGGCAGTACCTAAAAGCAAGCGTGCAGCCAAAATAAACATCGTTAGGATGTGAATTCTCCTTAGGTGTGGGACAGAGTGATGGGCTAATCAGACTGGGGGGCTGAGTTGTGGGAAGAGGTATGTGCACCAAACAGGTCATAAACAAGTTGTGCTGCTGTTAGTGAGACATGTAATTTTTTTAAATTCTAGGTTAGCTTTAAGCTGCTTCAGGCTTCTTTTGGAGAAGGTACACAAGCAGTTCAGTGATATGCGTGGCCCTTAAAGGTCCCTGATCAGTAAGGTATTGACACGGGTTTCCTGGCACTGCAGGCTCAGTTAATTACTCTGCTTCCTGAAACTTCTGCTGCAAGATGGAGATGGATTTAGGGCTGTTCTGTTTATTCTGAAACAGAGCTCCCAGAACGCACAGGCTGATTCTTGTGTTGCTTGTAATAGGCTTTAAAAGTCCTCAGCTTGAAAAGTACAGCAGAAATGGACAGTATTAAGTAAGGTGGTATTCGACATGGCATCCACGGGACACATCCTGTAGCAGGGCAGGGGCAGCGCAGACAGTTTCGTTTGAGACATCTGTGTCCTGCAGAGCCGGGGTGTGTGCTGTGGGTTGGTTTCTCTTCTTTCCCAAACACCCGACATGCACAGAGCTGAGCGCTCCCACCCTTTACTTTCAGGCATCTCCCAGGCAAGCTGCAGGGTTGAGTTGTGATTTGTGGGGCAGTAAGGCCTGTGGAGTTTGTCCAGTTCTCTTAAACTACTGCTGTGCTGCTTAGAAAATGACCATCTGTAATTGCAGCCTATGCCTTGACTTTTAGGGACTTGGGATGCAAAACCAAGAGGCAAAGTCAAAGATCTGCTCTTTTTGTGCTTTTTAAAAGAAATGTGAATGTGAGCGTTGTGCGTGCAGTGGTCTCGGCTCAGCTGTTCAGGTGCGTGTTGGATTCCTGGGAGGCGGGAGGTACGTCCTGGCTCTCCTCTAAACCTTAACTGGGGCAGCAGCGCTTTCTCTCTGCACTCTGCGTGGAACGGATAACATGTTCTAGGCTGACACCAAAAGGGAATTTTTCTTTCGAGCCTAACCCCAAGTAATCCTCGAAGTCTTGTTGACTTCATGGGTTGAAAGACTGACTTGGAAGTCAGCCCTTCTTTGCTTAGTTTGGGGCTACTCAGAGGCATCTGATTCTGGCACTGGTGGCCAGTTGAATGTTGATGAGAGCAGCGCACATCTGAAACCCGTAGCTGTGGCATCCCGTGTAGCCCAGGCTCTCTTCTCATCTCTCCTGTCTCTCCCCATTCCTGGTGTCTGTGCCCCAGAGTGAACCCCTCTTTTTGGCACAGCGGCCACGCGAATCGACTGCTGTGGCTCTGCTGGCACGGTGGCCAGTGCGGCAGAGATGACACGTGCTGGCATGGGGTGGATGTGGCTGTCCCCGGCCGGCACAGCTGCAGCCTGGGCTAAAGAAGGCTGAGGCTGCCAGTGGTGGTGAGGATAATGGAGTGTGTCTTATGGCAACGTGGCCTTCTGCCTGCCAGTGTGGTGTCCGGTGAGCACGGCCGGAGGACCGCAGCGGGGCTGAGTGCAGGGCAAGATCCGCTGCAGGGGAAGAACTGGAGGCAGTGCTGAGGGTGGGGGGGGCTGTGTCCCACGGGGAAACTCTGACGGGAGGAGGAAGAGAAGGCCAGGGTGAGGTGAGGTGAGGCTGGCAGCAGGAGTGGAAATGTTGGGTTGAATCTCCAGCCCTGGTTCTCTTGGATGCCTTGTGCTTCTCAGCACCAGCTCAGGGACAGGCAGGGATTGTAGCTGAAGTGGTGCGTCTTGTCTACCCCGAGCATCCCCCGCGTGGCAGGCTGGAGTACCAAGTCCTGTTGTCTGGCCACCTCGTTCTGCCAGGGCCCTTCAACGGTGCTGTGGGACCAGCAGAGACACCTTTGGTGGGGATGGCGGAGGGCAGTCGTCACAGCCTTGGGTAGAAGCCCTGGAGGTGGCTGCTGAGCCTGGGCGACCGTAGCCTGGCAGCAGAGTGGCAGTGGGCACTGCTGCCGGCTGCCTGCGCGGGTGCAGCAGGTTGGGGGTGGTTTTGTCCTTGAGGGAACTTCTCAGAAGCTGCACCTCAGTTTGTCTTTGAATTGGAGGCAGAGACAAAAGCTGTGTGATCTCGTTTCAGTGGAATGCTGGGGGATTCATTAGCTCATAGCTGTTCAGAGGTGCAAACTGAGAGCTGGTTGTTCACAGCGCATTGGGGCCTGAATCTCATCCCGAACTGCATCTTTCCTTACCTGCCAAAGTTTTTCTGCTACTACACAGATGGATGTGTTTTCAGCAAAGGTTTCCACGTGGAAGATTTAAAAAAATAAAATAAAAAGTAACTCCAAGCTTGGAATCATGCTGCCAGGGAGAAAGTTTACAAGGAAGCAGCCTGATAAACAAGGAAAGTCAGTGAGTTGCAAAGAGGTGAAATTCTACAGTGTGGCAACAATTCCGAGCTTGTCAGAGCTTCGCACTGGTCTCAGCCACCTCAGGCTCACTACAGGATCTTCGTTTTTACAGGCAGCCTCAGGAAGCTAGGCTGGACTGAAAAAGTAACGGAATTATGTGAAACTTGTCTGAGTCACTGACCCTGCATCTCCACTAGTTCTTTCAGGGCACTGCTTGTGAAGGAGGACAGAGAAGGCTGCAGCTGAGAGAGGAGATCTGCCCTTTCTGGTCACCACGAATTTCAGATCTCCTCCCCTAGCCTCTCCCAGTCTTTTGTGCTTTCCGTGCTAATCCATCCAGTGCAGCGTAAACTGACAGAGGCAGCAGCTGGAAACCCTGCTCTGAAAGCTGCTCTGAATGCCTCAGGATCAGCAGCAGCATGCACATGAAAACCGTGCTCATCCTCCTCGTTCTGGCTTTAGCCACGATATTTGCTTTAGTCTGCGTGTTGCTGACCAGAGGAAGGGCCCCCGGCACCTGCCAGCCCCAGCCCCCGGAGCAGGAGGACACCGATGATGGCCAGAGCCTGGTGTTTGCCGATCTGACACCCGAAGAGATGGCGCAAGTGGTGCGGTACCTGCGGGGAAACCTCGGGGTGCCGCTGGTTGACGCCTCGCGTGCGAAGCCCTCCGACAACTGCATCGCCTCCGTCGACGTGCAGGTTCCCCCCAAGGCAGAGGTGCTGCGGTTCCTGGATGGTGGGGGGGCTCGCCCCCCGCGGGAGGCGCTGGCTGTGCTGTACTTTGGGAACCAGCCAGGCCCCAACGTCACCGAGTACGTGGTGGGTCCGCTGCCGACGCCGGTGTATCACCGGGATGTCACGGTGCAGAAGTACGGGGGGAAGGTGCCGTACCACCGCAGACCAACGCTGGCTGTTGAATACAAACAGATTGGAGCATTTTTAAAAAGTCAAGTGTTCCCCACAGCTCCATCTTTCATGCGTCAAGTAATGGAGTATGATGGAGCCAGTCTAGCAGCCCTGACAGCTGCTCCCCGCGGATTCCAGTCTGGAGATCGGATCACCTGGTTCGTTTTGTTTCAGAACGTGAGTGGGTTCTTTGTGCACCCGGTGGGGTTGGAAGTGCTGGTGGACCACAGCAGCCTGGACATCGCCCGGTGGGCGGTGAGCAGGGTCTTCTACAACGGGCAGTACTACAGGGACATGGTTCAGCTGGAGAGCGCCTACGTGCAGGGTCGCATCAGCGTGGAGAAGGTGAGGAAAGCGCCACGGGATGGGGACTTCTCGTCCATGAAGCCCCGAGCACCGTCGGCTGCGCTGTTCCCTCTCCAGGACGGGCGGTTGGGATGAGCGTGAACACGGGCCTGCGTCTGTTTGACATCCGACACAAGGGGGAGAGGGTTGCCTATGAAATCAGCATCCAAGAGGCGTTGTCAGTGTATGGCTCCAACTGCCCTGGAGGGATGTCCACGAGGTACATGGATGGCAGCTTTGGCATCGGGCGCTACACCTCTCCCTTGGTGCGAGGGGTCGACTGCCCCTATTTAGCAACGTACCTGGATGTGCACTACCTTGCTCATTCCCAGGTCTCCAGAATTAGTAAAAATGCCCTCTGCATCTTTGAGCAGAACCTGGGCTCCCCTCTGCGTCGCCACTACTCCAACTTGCAGTCGCTCTACTACGGGGGGCTGGTCAACTCTGCTCTGGTCGTTCGCTCTATTGCAACTGTGGGCAACTATGACTACGTGTGGGACTTCATCTTCTACCAGAACGGGGCCATCGAAGGCAAGGTCCAGGCCACGGGGTACGCGAGCTCGTCCTTCCTCCACGGGGACGGTCTGAGATACGGCAATAGGGTTTGGGAGCACACGCTGGGTACGGTACACACCCATTCTGTCAACTACAAAGTGGACTTGGATGTGGGAGGTAGGTCTGGGTCTTCCTTTAATGTCTGTGTTATACCAGTAAACCCCAGAGCTTTGGGAGGATTTTCTCCTAGTTTGTAGAATCCCTCATAACTGACATCAGAACTCTGCTTTTTCTCTCTCCTAACCTCTTCTTTCATTGCAAAATTATTTTTCTATGTATAAAATAGTCTGTGAAGGTCACGGAGTTGAAGGCAGTGTGAATTGTCTGGGAGCTCTGTGTTCAGCCCAGGGAAAGTATGAAAGGTAGCAGCTGAAAAATGTTTGTGTTTCCTTGAGGCCTCACGTCTGGCACCGTGCGTGTTGCCGTAGGCATGGCCAGGCAGACAGGGAGACACAGCCCTGTCTGCAGGGCTGGAGGTGTCAGCCTGCTCTTGCTGCTCCTGATGCTGGTCCCGGTGCTCCTTGTAACCTGGGAAAGCGCTTTTTGTATCTCAAGTGCGCAGCGTAAAGCAGGGCAGCCGGACTGGTGCTGTACAGGGCTGAGCTGGTGCAGCTCTATCCCCGCTCCTCTTTTGAGGAAACTCTTGTAAGCTGGATGCTGAGTCTTGGGCTACAAAGCCGCTGCAGTGAGCCAGTGAACTCCCCTGCTCCTGCACAGAGTCACGGTTTTTGGCAGCGGATCCCTGCGGAGGGTTATTTGAGTCCAGGAAGGACTGAGCGGCGCGGTGCAGGCATCCACCCAGGAGGCAGAAGGATGCTCATCCTGAAAGGACAGCTTTGCTTCCCCGCAAAGGCCGTTCCAGTAACTGCAGCCGGGGAGGTGCAAGGGCAGCGGTGGTGCTGGGAGCATGGACTGGCAGCATTGCACAGAATCCCAGAACAGTCGGGGTTGGAAGGTCCCTCTGGAGCTCCCCCATCCCACCCCCTGCCAGAGCAGGGGCACCTCCAGCAGTGGCACAGGACGGCGTCCAGGCGGGTTTGGGATGGCTCCAGAGGGGGAGACTCCCCCACCTCTCTGGGCAGCCTCTGCCACTGCTCTGCCGCCCTCACAGCAGAGAAGGCCCTCCTCAGCTTCAGATGGAACTGCCCATGGTCACCTTTGTGCCCGTTCCCTCTTGTCCTGTCACGGGGCACCGCTGAAACAGACTGTTCCCATCCCCCGGCACCCTCCCTTTCAGTATTTATAAGTGTTGATAAGATCCCCCCTCAGTCTTCTCCAGACTACAAAGACCCAAGTGCCTCAACCTTTCCTCGTAAGAAAGGCGCTCCGATCCCCTGATCATCTTTGTAGCGCTAAAGTTAGGTGTCTGTTATTGAGACCTGCTCCCGTAAAAAATAGGGGAAAACTGTTTTACATCTGCACAGGACCAAAGAGATGGCTGTTAGGCAGTGCACTGCACCTGTACCAGCCCGAGGAGAAACGCAGCTCCAGTAACCTGTGCTGTCCCCTGGATTGTGGGGGGTCAACGGAGAACTACGTACGTCAAGCTGCAGCGGACTCCAGTGCAAGTGCTCAGTCCCGGCACGCGTCCTCTCTTGCGCCTGCCTGCCACGCAGTGGTTTGTGTGGACTTGAAAGGTGCTGCTGCTGTCATCGTGGTCGAAAACAGGGCTGATACTGGTTCCCTTCCTGTAAGCAAGGCTTGAAAACACACTAAAATGCCGTTCCTGCGTGGTGCAAGGTCCTTTTCTGTGGCTGCTGCCCCTCGGTTCCCTGCTCTGTTTGCAGCCCCTGAGCTCTGGCTGCTGCAAAATGCTCTTGAGAAGAGTTGTGCAAAATCCCAGACTTACTCCCCGCAGTGAGGGAGGGGAGCCCTGTCCCGAGCAGCAGGGCTCGGTGCCGCGCGGGGTGCTGGAGGGGCACCCGGCAGGGTCCCCCCTGTTCGAGCGCGGGGAAGGCAAAAGTGCAGCACAGCAAAAATGGGTCATCTCCCACACAGGTTTCTTGGATCCTGGTCGGAGGCTGGTGTGGGGTCTGCAGGGAAAAAAAGGGTAATTATTCCCTGGCTGGAAGTGAGAATGAAAACATAAGTTCCTAAATTAACATGATCACAAGAGCGGCAAATTGATCCAGTGCTGTAGTGGTTTCAGCCCCTGCCCACCCCTCCTGCCAGTGCCTCAAACGGTCTCTGCCAGAAGAGTGCGAAGTGGACCGCGATCTCTGGAAAGTGGCTGTCAGTGATGTACCACCGCCGCCTCGCGCCGGGCTGGGCGCAGCAGGGTCAGCCTTGCAGGAGCTGGTGGCCGTGCAGGAGCAGCCGCCTCACTCCACGGTGGGGTGGTCGCTGCCCCGAAGGGCTTCTCGCTGCGCTCCTCACCAGGGAAGGTCCATGGCGTGGTCAGGAGTACTGATCAGTTTCCTGACAGTAATCACTTCTGTCCATGACAGCTCTTGTCCGAGGATGGCGTCTGCTGGCGTGGGGTTGGGATGGCCGAATGGGGACAGATGTGTCCTGTTCATCGTCCTGCAGCCTCTGCTCCTGGTGCAGCCACTCCAGGCACTGCGTGGCGCTTGCCGTTGCTGCCAGGGGTTTGGCGAGCGCTGCTCGTTCTCACCAGGGAGCTTCCCCCCATCTCAGCCAGTCTGCCCACAGCTAGAGCTCTGCTGGAGCTGCTGGGTCCCTTCCCTTGGGGTTGGGAGGGACTGGGAGGCGGCAGAGAGTGGCGACGGGGAGAAGAGGCACGTGGAGGTGCTGGAGCCGGCAGGTCGTGGGCTCTCCCGGAGCGCCAGCCTGGACCGGCCCTTCAGGGGCGCGGGGCTGGTCCCGGGGCGACGGGGTGCGGCAGCAGTGCAGCCGGCCGAGCCTGTCCCCGTGGCATCGCTGCGCTCCCACATCAGACGGGACGGGGTGTCCGGGGAGATGCTGGGCGAAGCAAAGGCCCCTTGGGCAGACCGAGGCCGGGGCTCTTCCTGGTGTCACCCTGCAGCGGAGAAACCCATCAGTATCTCGGGGAGTGAGTCAGGCGCCGGCTCCCCGGCTGGCTCCCTCGCTGTGTCTGGGGTGGGGAGGGAACAGGCTGAACTGGACGGGACCTGTGATCTGTTCTCGGAGCCCATGCAAGCTCCAGGCGCCCTCCCCGCCTCGCAAGCGACGCCTTTACACCCACAGTTGGCAAATGAGTTAAGAGCCCTGTCTGCAGGTGAGGGACATGTTCCGGAGCCTGCCGCCGAACCCCACGCGCTGTTTCTGCACTCGGAGAGATGAACCCCAGACTTCCCTACGTTCTCCTGGTTGGTGCTGCAGTGATAATCTTCATTCTTTCCTGCATGCTGCTGAGCAGGGGGAGGCAATCACCCAGCTGCGAATCCCAGCCCCACATCCTGGAGAAGACGGGGTCCACGAGCCAGAGCCTGGTGTTTGCCGATCTGACACCCGAAGAGATGGCGCAAGTGGTGCGGTACCTGCGGGGAAACCTCGGGGTGCCGCTGGTTGACGCCTCGCGTGCGAAGCCCTCCGACAACTGCATCGCCTCCGTCGACGTGCAGGTTCCCCCCAAGGCAGAGGTGCTGCGGTTCCTGGATGGTGGGGGGGCTCGCCCCCCGCGGGAGGCGCTGGCTGTGCTGTACTTTGGGAACCAGCCAGACCCCAACGTCACCGAGTACGTGGTGGGTCCGCTGCCGACGCCGGTGTATCACCGGGATGTCACGGTGCAGAAGTACGGGGGGAAGGTGCCGTACCACCGCAGACCAACGCTGGCTGTTGAATACAAACAGATTGGAGCATTTTTAAAAAGTCAAGTGTTCCCCACAGCTCCATCTTTCATGCGTCAAGTAATGGAGTATGATGGAGCCAGTCTAGCAGCCCTGACAGCTGCTCCCCGCGGATTCCAGTCTGGAGATCGGATCACCTGGTTCGTTTTGTTTCAGAACGTGAGTGGGTTCTTTGTGCACCCGGTGGGGTTGGAAGTGCTGGTGGACCACAGCAGCCTGGACATCGCCCGGTGGGCGGTGAGCAGGGTCTTCTACAACGGGCAGTACTACAGGGACATGGTTCAGCTGGAGACCGCCTACGTGCAGGGTCGCATCAGCGTGGAGAAGGTGAGGAAAGCGCCACGGGATGGGGACTTCTCGTCCATGAAGCCCCGAGCACCGTCGGCTGCGCTGTTCCCTCTCCAGGACGGGCGGAGCTTTGCCTTTGGGATGAGCGTGAACACGGGCCTGCGTCTGTTTGACATCCGACACAAGGGGGAGAGGGTTGCCTATGAAATCAGCATCCAAGAGGCGTTGTCAGTGTATGGCTCCAACTGCCCTGGAGGGATGTCCACGAGGTACATGGATGGCAGCTTTGGCATCGGGCGCTCCCCCTCTCCCTTGGTGCGAGGGGTCGACTGTCCGTACTTGGCCACCTATGTCGACACACACTCTTTGTCTGAGACCCTGAGCCGCAGCAAGAGAAAGGCTTCCCTCTGCATCTTTGAGCAGAACCTGGGCTCCCCTCTGCGTCGCCACTACTCCAACTTGCAGTCACTCTATTACGGTGGGCTGGTCAACTCTGCTCTCGTCGTTCGGTCCATTACGACCGTGGGCAACCACGACTACGTGTGGGACTTCATCTTCTACCAGAACGGGGCCATCGAAGGCAAGGTCCAGGCCACGGGGTATGCGAGCTCGTCCTTCCTCCATGGGGATGGTCTGAGATACGGCAATAGGGTTCGGGAGCACACGCTGGGTACGATACGCACCCATTCTGTCAACTACAAAGTGGACTTGGATGTGGGAGGTAGGTCTGGGTTCTGTCTCTCTTCTGTGCCCTCCTTGAGCACTTTTAGACTCCCCAAACTTGGCAGTTTTTGATCCTTATGCAGTTTTTTTCTTTCCATGTGTGTGGTAGGGTGGTGTGCTGACACAGAGCTGTCTCCCTTCTGTTTTTAGAGCAGTGAGAAGCTGTTGTGGCACAGGGAGAGTTTCCCCCTCTGTCCTGAGCAGTGTCCCCTAAGAGATGTGCAGATCTGCAGCTTCCCGGGCTGGTAACGCCGGGCTGCCGTGTGCCCGGCGCCTGCCCTAATGGGAAGGGGTCCTTCCCCTCCTGCCCGGGCGGGCGGACCCGGCCTCGACGCCTCCGGGGCTCTGCAGAATTTGAGGTTTTTCCCTCTGCGCCCTCCCCCTCTCCTGAGCCCCAAATTATAGTCGGAGTCGCTCAGGCTGTTTTGTTGGGATGTGGTTTCCAGCTCACATTCCTG